CCATAAGATTGACAGAAATAATGGTCTACAGAAAGTAATAGACCTTCCTTGAAAGTCAAAATCAGGAATGAACCCTGCGCACGTATGTGGTTTACTGAGTGACGCACGTGCAAACTATAGTATGTGTTTTGGTGTTTTACAGGCAAACGTTCTTGCATGGGGTGTATGTCATCAAAATTTATCTATGTTCTGGAACTTGGTATTAACATACATATTTCAAGATCCCCTTCGTTTTTGATGTGCAATTTACAAATAGTGAGTACTACCATTTGGTCTGTCCATTAGACCTTATTATCCCCCACCACGAAGTGGAAGGGGGATATAGGAATGGGTGCCGTCCGTCCGTCCATCACATTTCGTTTCCGGGGCAGAACACAAAAACCGTTGGATATATCTTAACCAAACTTGGTACATAGATAGGTCTTGTGGTGAACTGGTGCCTTTTGATGGTTTGGGATGTTTTGAAAACATTATTTTTCGAGTTTCCATGTCAACGACTTTGACTGAAAATGGCGGTAATCCTCGTTTCCGGAGCAGATCTTAAGAACCGTACAATATTTCTTTACCAAACTTTGCAAATAGATAGGTTTTGTGGTGAACCGGTGCCTTTTGATAGTTTGGATTTAAAATAAAATAAAATTCGAGTTTCCATGGCAACGACTTTGACTTAGACTGAAAATGGTGGTAATCTTCATTTCCGGAGCAGAACTTGAAAACCGTACAATATGTCTTTACCAAGCTTGGCATATATATAGGTCTAGTGGTGAACTGTTGCCTTTTGATGGTTTGTCATTTTTGAAATAATTATTTTTCGAGACAATGACTTTGACTTAGACTGAAATGGCGGTAGTCCTCATTTCCGGAGCAGAACTTGAAAACCGTACAATATTTCTTTACCAAACTTGGCAAATAGATAGGTCTAGTGGTGAACTGGTGCCTATTGATAGTTTGGGATTTTAAAAAAATTAAAAAATCGAGTTTCCATGGCAACAACTTTGACTTAGGCTGAAAATGGCGGTAGTCCTCGTTTCCGGAGCAAATCTTGAAAACCATGCCTTTTGATAGTTTGGAATTTAAAAAAAAATTATTTTTCGAGTTTCCATGGCAACGACTTTGATTTAGGCTGAAAATGGCGGTAGTCCTCGTTTCTGGAGCAGATCTTGAAAACCATGCCTTTTGATAATTTGGGAGTTTTTACGAATGTTTCCTTAGCAAGAGAATAACTCAGAAACCGTTTACATATTCCACAAAAACATCCACACAGGGTTGCCTGAGAACCGTTACCATAATAACCTAATTGAGATGTATACCACTTGACAAAGGGGCCTTGACAAGGTATATGGCGAATTATTGTGAAAACACAATTTACAAGTGGCACCCGAACGTGCCTACTTCATCATAGTGCATGGTGGTAACATGAACAGTGGCACCTGAACCAGCCTACTTCCTCACAGTGGGTACCGGTAACATGAACGGGGACACCCGAACCAGCCTAATTCCTCTCAGTGCTGTGATGCAAGAAAGCGAAGTCCTGTCAATTTGAAACATGCAGACAATGCTTAATCTGTCATGGTTGAAAGAAAACAGTATCCAGGAACTTTAGCATGGCCCCTCACAATCCACAAGTCACAAGGTAGCACCTATGAGCAGATGATTGGGAACATGACAATTGCACAAGGAAGTAAATTTAAAGCCCAGCCTGGTCAAGTGTATACGATGTTCAGTAGGGTCAAATCAAGGAAAGGCCTAAAGCTTGTAGGTTTTGATGAACACAAAATTGTAGTAAACAAAAAAACATTGGATGAGATGACTAGATTGCGGAATGAAAGACTGTTCACCTGGACACACCCTGTAGAGAACATTCATGGTGATGGACTCAAGGTAGCTCACTTGAATGTTCGATCCCTCAGTGCTCATTTCGAAGATGTGAAGAAGGACAAGTTTGTTGGTGTGCTTGATGTTTTGTGTTTCACAGAAACAGACCTGCCAGGATATAAAGTCTATCCAGGAGACACTACACATGGTATTGCTCAAGTTTCAAGAACAGGTGTCGCATTCATTTTCTCATTTCATGCAGAAACTTCAGGATCTCTCCAAGCAGCATGAATGTGAACATGTCCTAGTTACTGGGGATTTCAACTGTGATCTGAGTGAAAAACTCAAACTTGAAGATTTCTTCCATGTGCAGAAAATGACTCAACTCATTCACTCGATCTTCAACTCACTGTCTAGGAGCTACACTGGACTTGTTGTTTACTGATCATGCCAGTGCTGTAGCATTCGAGCCACCAGTCTACTACTCAGATCATCAGATGATTGGTGCTGTACTTCTCAGTACACCTCATGGTGATCCCTGCTCTCAATTATCTCTAAGTAAAGCAAGAACTCTCTTACTTCTCTGATTATTGTTGAAGTTTTAACACATCTCATTACAAATACAACTGTAAATGCATCTTAAACCTACTCAACTGTATAAACACTGCATTGCATCCTATCCTGTATATATTCTTGTCAACCATATTCTGTACTTCACTTGCTTGATAACGGTGTTAGAACCTACACCGAAATGTCGCTCCTAATTGTAATAAAGAAGGTGTTCGTCCATATGTCTCATCCTTACTCATTACAAATACAGTTACGTATTCTATCATAAACTGCAGATGGCAAAACAAGACCAGTAATAACTTTTTTACTGCTGCAATTAGGCCATTACTAAAAGGTCCAGTGAACATAGTTCACAGGAGCTGATGCATTGCACACAACCGGACATGTCATATTGGCGGGGGATATGAGTATTTCATGCTTGTTACTTTGGCAAGGGAGTTCGACCTGTCCTTATTTTCTTTCGTTAGATTAAGCCGTCACGTTGATGAGGTTATATTGTTCAGTATAGCATCATGAATGGATTTTGAAAACAAATCTCTGTTATTAGATACTTTGGCTTCACTTGATTGGTTCGTCAACTGGTACAATATGATCTTGAACCTGATAATCCCAAGACATACCTAGGCTATGTTATGAGTACAGACAATCATCATTATACTTTGAAAATCCAATCCAGAAGCATAAAAAAACTTAAGAAGCATCTTTGCCGTGCTTTAGATGAGGGTGTAGTTAGACAAGAGTGTAAGCTCGCAAAGTGGGACAAGATGTCGCTCCATGTTAGAGCTGTAGCTCCTGGAAAAGCTATATGTTTAGGTGTGTATATACTAGTTAGTGCCGGGACCGGTTGGTATAAGTTATGATAAAGCGGCGCCTGATGATCTGACTGGGGGGCTTGAGGCGGTAGATAATTGGATTGGTCACTGTATCTTAATCTGAGACACCCAGAAGCACAGATACGGCCAACATGTAGCAGGATTCCGCGGGTCAGCAGGCTTCCATCCATTCACAGATGAATGATGCTTTTCACATGGTGATGCTCAGCTTTGGTCTTAATTTAAGAGGAAATGTAGTGAAAGATTAACTTGATGTTATATCAACTATCTGGGGCATCCAATTAGCAACTAACTCAGTTTGCAAAGAACCAGGGACTGACTGCAAGCCAGTTTCTATTCAACTTCAAACAGCATTCCTAGCTGGAATGAAAATTGTAGAAGCAGACTGTCTCAGCCGCTTCCCGACACATGCGAGTGGCACCTCAACCCTCCTCTGTTCAGGTACATAGGCAGGCATTGGGGACCCACACTGTCTACAGGTTTGCGAATCTGTCCAACCATCAAATAGACGTATGCAACAGTCGCTACCTGCATCCACAGCCTGTAGGAGTCGAGGCTGTCTCAAGACAACTGGTACAGTCACAACAACTTTGTCAATCCAGAATTTTGCCTCTGATTCCAACAAAAGTTAAACAAGAACAGACTTAGGCCCAGTAGATACCCTCAGTAAACAGCAAACAGTAAACAAACCTTTGATCAACAGAGATCAAAGGTATTACATCTCGTCTGCCTATGAAGATCTAATCAAACAATAGGCCTTTGTAATAAGTATCCAGTCAGCTTGTCACAACTTTTTAATCCTTTTAATCCTTATCCTTACACATCTGGTTTCATTACCTGTGTGCTCTTTGTTATTCTTACTGTACATCTCGCTTCAGCCAATCATCTGTGTGCTATTTGGGTTTTTTATTACCTGTTGTAAATGATAATATATCATGCATATATACATCTCTTCACCTAATTGTAGTCACTCTAGCTTGATAAGGGTGTAAGAATCGAAAGAAACGTCGTTATGTGCAATAAATCAGAAGTTGTTACAATAATGTTGTACGTTTTGTTAATAAAATTCGTGCGACAAAACCCTTTCCATATTAATAAAAAATCTCTGCTAAAAGCCGATTGTACGATTCCGATTACATCACGAGTACATGTCTATGTATCACTATCAAATAGTTGTGATACCAGGTGTTCGTGAAAATGAGTGCATATCCTGCCCCACCGGTGTCACCCGTCAAGAGGGGCGGTCGGGTAGCCCAGTGGTTAAAGCGTTCGCTCGTCACGCCGGAGACCCGGGTTCGATTCCCGACATGGGTACATTGTGTGAAGCCCATTTCTGGTGTCCCCCGCCGTGATATTGCTGGAATATTGCTAAAAGCGGCGTAAAACCATACTCACCCACCCCACCCACCCGTCAAGATATCATCAAACGTGGACAAGTATACACACCACTATTAGCCTTGCTGCAAACCTGTTTTCCTCATCTTCATAATTGCCAGTTACTCTTAGGTTCCTTTGGACACTAGTTTGGATCTACTAATATTAACATCACCTATTATATCTGCTGGATATTTCCCAATTAAATAAAATTGTTTATGTTATTTATTCAGAATGTTCAAGTGGCTGAGATTATCTACATTCACAGTAGCATCGAACAAGTATTTTTTTTAACGAAAGCAAAGAGTGCCTGAGATTATAACTAACATAGACTAATAATTAGGTACTTATTAGAAAAAGATTCATAAAAATGACAACCAAACACAAGTAATAATAAACACGACATAATGACTGATCAGAATAATTTATCATCAAATATAGTTACAAGTACATTGTATAAGATCTGTTTGAAATCGTGACCTTAACAGAGTGTTATAGTGTAATCTAACAGAGCTAAAGTTGACACCATTGCACAAAGACTATTGCAAATATATAGTATTGCAAGTTATATATCAATGCATACAAATTCAGGAACATTTTTTCCTTGTAACAAAACACTTAGTAGCAGCCTTTGGTACAGAATAAAAGATCACCTAAATACCATCTAAAACAATTATTTCTGTTTCTTGCACAAAGCACACTGAATTCTCCGAGAGTAATACTGAGAGGCATACCGCTCCTGCAGTGGCTTTGTGTTATTTGTGTCAAAATACAATGTTTCTTTCATAGGTCCATTGTGGTTCTCCGCCAAAATACATTTATCAATGTCACTCTCAGCCTGTCCACGGGAAGAACGTAAGGGATACTTACTAGGTTCTACCAGCATTTTATACCGCTCATAATCTGCATGAGGTTGTAGTGAGAAAGGACACATTTGTCTAGTCTGTAGTTCATGTTCTTTTGCTGAAACGCTCTTCGTGTCTCCATGTAGATGGGGAAGCTGGGAAACATCTGCCGTGGCTGGAAGACTATGGATAGAGCTGCTCAACTGGTTAGACAGCTGGGATGAAATATAAGTCTGACTGACGTGATCAGTTGGATGGGGTCTACTACAGCAGATGCCTATAGTGGAGTTTCTGATATTGGAACCGGATCTATGGCTTTGAGATAATTCTGGCATGGGACATTTTTCTGTCTCAGATACATTGCTGGAAGTGACAATATTGACTAACAGACTTTGGAAATCACATTCATGCATTGCTCCCCAAATACAACTAGTTGCAATCTTGTATGCCTCAAGTTTGTACATAGAATCTTGTTTCTGTCCATAATTCTTGCCCGTCAATCCAACATCATCCAGTTTTATCTGCAACTCACAAAAGGCTTTCTGGATGACACTTTTAGCAGCTGCAGTGATACCTTCCCTAATTTCACTCCCAGAATAGAGTGCTGGAAGGGGTTTGCTAAGCGACATTGACATCTGTTCCTTCAGATTATGCATCATGTATGTTGCCAATTCTTGCTCAGCCTTTTCCAAAATTCTGTCTGCAAAGTTCTCACATTTTTCAGACAACACCATAGCAGCAACAAATGCTGATGCTGTATGGTGTAATAGCCTATCATTCAGACAACATGTAAACTTATGGTTGGCACTGTACATTGTTGCATTATTTCCAGTTATAATGCTGTTTGACGTTAAAGATGGAATTGACTCCTCTGTTGGCAGTTTCTTGCAGTCAGACTCCTCCATAATGTTACATTCTTGACTGGGTTCTAAAGGTAAATTTCCACCAACACTGTGTTCATCAGATAAGTCCAACTGATGGGATGGATGATGAATAACATCACCTATCTTTTCTCTCAGGTCAATGTGTAGACGTTTCTTTGACAGTTGATGTTTTTCACTGCGTGTTTGTTTATTATGTTCATTGCCTTTCTCAGCCAAGCTGGTAATGCCAGTTAAAACTCCAGTGATGTAATTCTTGGTATACTCAGCTACTATCTCACACAACTGCTCATCTGTGGCACCCTTGATGACTGACAGGTCTCTGTTTCCTAGATCGCAGTGCTTTCCCTTGGTTTGATCACTTCCAACTCCTGTTCCAGAAGCAGTAGAAATTAAACCTGTAGAAGACAACTTCTTTGGAACGTATTTATTATTCCATTTGCCTGAGTGTACCTGCACACCATTGTCAGTGTGACGTGACATGACATTTTGGACATCCCCATATTTTACCACGGAACCATTACATGGCTTTTTGGGAGAACCTTTGCCTTTCTTACGTTTTGCTCTTTTGTTGTCAATATAACCAATGGAAACTGTTTTCCTGCATAACTCTTCTGACGCATTGTGTGAGTGCTGCCCTGATTTTTCATCAGCAAAAACTGAATCATAATAAGCATCAGCAACCGAATGGGAGTTTCGGTTTTGAAGAACAGTGCCATTGTTTGGCAAAATGTAAACAGCATACTCCATTGATCCAACTTTATTGAAGAAGTTAAGCTGCTCTCTTTTAGGACAAGCCTTGTTCTTCTTTCTTCTTTTCCAGAAACAGTGTATCTCTCTTGAGTCAGTGACTTCAACCATATGATAATCTTCTGAACCTGATAGTTCATCACAATGCCCTTCTGTTGGGACAAGTCTTTCATATGTTGCAAATATTTTAGGATGTCTTTCTTTTCCATCTATCTCACACAGTATAGTATTTGGTGAAGAATGAAATGCTAGGATTCGTTTATGTCCAGGATCATGATTATTCATATTGACCAACGGTACTGCTTTCTTGGGGATTGTGGGCAATGAAAATGTTGAGGTTGGTTGCAGTACACTTTCTTCATCTCCATCAAGATGAGGTGATTCACAAACAATGTTGTGGTCGGTGGCAGGAAGCACATGTTTAGTGTTATCCTCCAATTGTTCAGCAGTTTGATTCTCTGTGATACTGATTGGATGTTTCACTGTAGGATGCCTGTTTACTTCTTCAACTGCACTCTCATCTACATGAAGAGAAACCTTTGCACATATGTTATCGTAGTGAGCCCTCAATCCACCCAAACTCCCCATTTCATTGTGATTAATCACTTTACTCTGCTGCACTGTCGGTATAAGGCGATCTTCATGTAGTACATTTGAATCGACTTTGTCTATTTCACTACTATGGGCCTCGTCTGCATCTACTGCTTGTTCAAACTTTTCTCCATGTGTGTCACCAATTGTTGAAGGTATGTCAATACACGATTTGAAATCAGACCACGATTCAAATCTGTTGATAGCATTCTTCATCCAAGTAGATTTCAAAGGTGGTTTTGCAAGGCCAATGTTGTCTTCACTGGATGTTTTGTGCTGCTCAACAGCTCCTAGTATTTGCTCAGAGAGAGATGTTTTATATTTTGTTCCTTGCTCGTCCAATGGATGTAGCATGCTATTAACTGCATTTCCCTGGATTTCACTTGCAGTCTCCTGAAGTGACAGAGCAATTGCCGTTTTTGCAAGCTCACAGGCCATATGATCAATAATGGCCACCTTTGATAATTGAGGCTGACGTGAACTCTTGAAGCCACCACTGTAGGACATGTGTGGCGAGACATCCTCTATAGTGTGTGGAGATGACGAATGAGTAGATGAATTTTCCTTTTGGCTGCAGATACCTCTGGAAATAATCCCTGATGTATTTATGTCATATGAGGTTAGACAGTGTTCACCGGTGGGTGGGTGGCTCGTTTCATGAATACACTTTTGAAACTGTTGGATGGGTGACCCTGTGTCTGCCAGTTTGGAAGATCGAAACGATGTACCTCGCTCCTTTGACAGAGTCTGATATGGGCCCTCTGTTTTACATGTATGCTCAACCTTCACAAAATTTCGGTCTTTTGACAATGACTCATATGAAGGTTTATCAAATACATTTGTTAATGAAGGATATGTTTCAATAGACTTTGTAGAATAATTGTCTGGAAGAGAATATAAAGGTCCAACAGATGTAGCAACGATCATGCTATTTGAATATTCTCTAGTCACCGGATTATCCCTGTTTTGTACGTGACATTCTTCAAGGCATACTCCTTGCAATGGAGATCTCTTCTGTGATTCCCTGTTGAAAGTAACAATGTGTGTCTCCTCACTGTTTGCGCATAGTTCACTCAGGGAAAGGATATCTTCGTCATGCATAGGAACAATAGATTCAAAATCGCATATCTCATCAATAGAAGATGTATCACAGAAGCTGAGGCTGAGACTGAGAGATGGTGACCAATTTTCTGGGTCCTGAAAACGCTTACGTTTCTCAACTATAGATGAAATATTTGATTGTAAGGAGTGAAATGAACTTCCTGTCTGACCCTTTTCCTCTTGAATATTGGCCTCCTCAACAAGTCTTTCATTGACGATGGAGTTGCAGTCTGGTACACCATTTGTTTTGTCAGTTTTTAATGTTGCAGAATGTCCATCTTCATCACATTCAGATGTATTTGAAATAGCTGCAGTCTCATTACTAGGGGACAGTGGGTAGATGGAACTGACATCACTGATGTCACCGCTCGATACTTGGTTTGTTAATCGGGCTGTGTGCACAAATGTTGGAGACCATGGCCCATCTCTACCATCATCTAATTAGAAAGATAAATACAGTTATTATGATATTACAATTTGAACAAAAGATACAAATGATAATGAGGGAATGTGATACAGACCTACCCAGTGTATTAACTAGAGAATAATGCACGATCTACAAGGAGTTATGGATTATTTGTCCCAAGAATAAGAATAATGTCCCGAGTGTTAAGTGAAAAATAATTTGCTAATCTAATATCGGAGTAATTTGTTTTATGTAACGCTTATAATTATTAGAAAGTACGAAACTACAAAAAAAAGTACTGAAGTTAATCTATTGTTCTGTTGACGTGATGTTATCACTTTGTGACTTGAAAATCAGTGACATTTTACATATCGTTTTAATTGCCATGCAGTGATATGATGTCAAACTAAGTGACCAATCAGAATTGGTGTGTGCTGACACCATAATCATGAAATCCAACTACCACCATCAGAGCGCCTGGGTTATATTCAAAGAAATACTGTCTGAGTCACTCACCTTCAAAAGACACTGGAGACTCTGTTCCGGGTGAGGAAAAGTATTGACCTCCCTCAAAAGACGATTCCACTTGTGAGAGAAACGAATTTTCACCACTTCCATCAGAGAGGAAGACACTGGAGCCAGTTGAGTTGTTGCCATCAGACAGGAATGCGGAACTCTGCGACTCAGTGGCTGTTGTTTCAGTGCTGCTTGATGGAACAACACCCATGGCCCCTGCTCCTGAATATAGGCAGGAACATTCTTCGGAAATGTCATCCTCTCCTACAATTGGTTTAAGAACAATGTGAAAACAGCTGTATCTTTATTTTTCATCCAAACTGGACTCAAATAACATCCCTAACATTTCTGTCACTGAAGCTGCATTGTTTGTTGTACTTCTTACAGACAGGTCTCGGAGTTTTTAAACTTTCAGCGACTCGTTTTGATATATTTGATATCACCAGACACTCAGGTGAGATTCCCTGTATTTTCCTTACCTGTAAAGGCTAGAAACAATATTCACAGATTTGTATTCATTCATAGTTGTCAATAACGTTTGCGCTGACAAATCAAAAAGCTGTGGTGTGAAGCTAGGAAATGTGTCATGTGTGACACAGTGACATCAGTTACCTTGCTGTTGTGGGTGTTTGAGAGCACATTCCAAATAAGTAGACATACAGGTGTGTTGTGGCGGCGCTTCCAGTGGCACAGGACGCGTGGAACTTCCCTCTGACATACTGTTGAAATTACAAAGAAACAAAATTCTCAGAATTACTTTTTACAGATGCGAAATCAGTACGTACTTATTTCTCTGGTAGCCACTTTTAAGCACGTAAGGATACCTTTGGTAGCCGGTTATAAACATGTAAGTATTGCTCTCTTTACCATGTAAACTGACGTCCAAAAGAAACTTTACCAACTGAAAAAATAAATTTTAGACAAAGTATAATTTTTTTTTCGATGAAGTCTATCTAAAACACATAACCTAAATACAACAATTGTGTATGCAGAAAATGTTAATCGTCTGTTACATGTTTGCGAGATAACACGCGAAAAAGTGAAAAACACGTGCACCACGGACAACTGCAAATGCACGTGCGGGTAAGGGTATGAAACGATTGCAACGGCAAGTCAGACATCCACAGTGATAAAAAAAACACAAAAGAAATGCCAGGACTCACAGTCGAACAACGTGAACGAGCCTTGGGTATGGTACAGATGGGAGCCGCCCACGCCCATATTGCACGAACCACGCCCATATTGCCTTTACCAACTTGATGCAACGTTACAGACAGACAGGGCGGACCGCTGACAGGCCAAGAACAGGCAGACCCAGGGTGACCACGCCCCATGATGACCGGTACTTGCGTACCTTGCGCCTCCGAAATCGCTTCCTGGCAGTGACGTCATCGGCGACAAATGCCTTAGGTCACAGGGTTAGTAGACAGACAGTGGCCAAGAGACTCAGGGCTCATGGAATCAGGGCTTTTAGACCATACAGAGGACAGCTATTGACAGCGCAGCATCGTCGTCTGCGATTGAGATGGGCCCGGACTGTACGACGTTGGCAACGACGTGACTGGCAGAGGTTGTCTTCACTAACGAAAGTCGATTCTGTATGTTTAGGGCTGATGGAAGACAACGTGTTTACCGCCGAAGGGGTGAACGAACGGCGGCGTGTTGCGTGCAGGAAGTCGTACCATATGGTGGAGGGAGTGTCATGGTGTGGGGAGGGATCTGTGGGCAGGAGAGGACACCGCTGGTCATCGTTGACGGAAACTTGACAGCTCAGCGTTACATGGATAACATTCTTCGTCCAGTTGTCCTACCATTTCTCCAACAGCAGCCACGTGTTGTCATTTATCAGCATGACAACGCTAGAGCCCATACAGCCAGAATTGTCACTAACTTCCTCGCAGCCAACTATGTCAACGTCCTGCCGTGGCCTGCACGCTCACATGTCCCCCCATAGAACACCTCTGGGACTTGATGGATCGTCGTGTTCGACAACGACCACACTCTCCAGCCAACCGGCAAGAACTGATCTTGGCCCTCCAAGAAGAATGGCGTCAAATCCCACGACTGATTTTTGTCTGCCCGTCGAAGAGTTTTTTCGTGTATTGAGGCATTTGGTGGTCACACACGCTACTAATGACTTGTTATTGAACGTGAGCGATTGTTTATGTACTCTGCCTATTGTCCATGATTCTGAAAGCTCGAGTTTTGTACCACGCCCAACTTTGGGGGGCTCTGACGTCATTCTCGGTCGCGGTATGATTGTCATTTTCAGTGTTGATTATGTTGATATATTGATCTTCTCAATACACTTTACTTCATGCATGTATGTTTTGTTGTTTTTTAGCAAGAGTGATTTCAAACTCTGGTAAAGTTTCTCTTGGACGTCAGTTTATAAGCAATCAAAATAACATTCATAAATAAGACTGTACAGCAAATGCTGAAGATTAGCCCAGTAAAATTTTGTTTGTGAAGGCAATATAGCTATGTAATATATGCATAAACTCAATACGTTTAATATTAAGATGATCTTGTAGGTTAGTATTTCCAAACAAAAGGGTCTTGGTATTAAAGCCTTTAACATAAAAATAATATGGTGATCTAATATCACAATAATTCACACATTCTTCTTCGTTATGATGACCACAACTGCAAGTATTTTCTCGTACACTAAGCCGGAAACACCAATCAGCTGTACACACGCTTTCTCCAAAATCTACCGGTGATTCGGTTAAACATTGCCTAATAATATAACTTCAAGAATTTTGATGCAATGATCGGAAAAATTGTATCTGAAACAATTATTTTATCAGGAATAATACATTCCAATATCATGTTATTTTATTTGCAGCTTTTACTATATATGTTTAAAATAATAATAATCATAAGCGTTGCACTTTGGTACAGCTGATCGCTATTGCCGGATATTTTTTACATGGGAACAATTTGACCAGTTACCGTCCAGGCGCCCGCGATCTTGAAAACTTTATGTTGACATATAATAGTCAAACTACAACAAATATGACTTTTAACGAGTCAAAGGCATTTATGATATATGTATCCGTTCTCTGTCAACTAAAGTTCGTTTCAATGCGTCAGTAGCGGTAATCTGACGGTGGATGCTGTAAATAACGGTGAGTTGTGTGATCTACCGATCACTTAACACACGATTTCGCCAACAATATTGAATGAAACTTTGCATAAAAATAATAAAATATATTACAAACATAAGTCCAGATATACAATGAACACTTTTTATAACCAGTGTACTTACAAGATTAAACTGCGTACTTCAGAACAGATTTATTGACATGGTATTTCCGGTGTTACGTGCGTAGAGAAAACAAACACCACAATTCATTATGGCGTGTATAATGCGCCAAAAAAATGTGCGCACTATACTCAAGAAAATACGGTAAACATTACGTTGTACCAGCAACTTGTCTTTGTTCCATTTATGAAATTCAGTACACTGGTGCTTCAAATTGCTTCTGAATTCCAAATTTAGAATGATGCAATATATCATGATACATATCGCAATACGGCCTTGTGCATCGTAAAATACTGTGATACACTCTAAACCTCAAATATCCATCCCTAGTTGATAAAATCATATTAAATACACTACACAACGATACAGCTCGCCAACTAATAATATTAAAACACCCGGTCTTGGAAGGGCATTTAGAAGTGATACACATATGGATGTCAACTTCTTTATTATGAGGAACACAAGGTTTCGGAGTATATGCTTACTCCTGCATCGGGTGAACGAAGCCATAGGGCAGAGAGCATATATATGTACAGGTAAGCACAACAAAATTATAAGATAACAAAAGGTGGTAAATAAACAAAGGGTAGAAACGAACAAGGGAAGGACGTCAGTACTTAAGTTATCATAGATAAGTAATAGGTAATGGACTCTGGACAAACGGGAAGCCTAATTACTAATTACCCCGGCCACGTGCGATAGTGTATCCTATTTTCGTTGTAGAGGTGCGTGCTAACGCAGGAAAATCTTCATATATAGCAAGTTTTATGTCATAAAACCAGTGTTATTGATATAATTTCTTGTGTTAGAAATTCCATACTGGCCGTATTGTCAGTGTTAATGCTTTATTTTCATATCTTTGTGCAAACAAAACATTTTCAAAGTTGCACGTGACAAGGGAGCAGCCATTGTATTACAGTGTAAGGTATCATGCTATTGCTGTGTTGCAATTTGATTATAATAGAGTACTTCAGCATGTTTAATTACATGTATTGTCATGACAGTGAATGATGGATACAATTACATTGTATCATTCTGTAATTTTCAGGACCCTGGAAAAGTAAACTCTGCGTTTGACGAAATCTCAGCTTTGTTATCTCTGTATGATTCTTTCGTATAATTCCTACTAACGTATCATGTCGAAATCGATGAACGTGGAAACGTTCCTTCGTTTTTCATTGGTTCACGTTGCATTGGTGTTCCCGTTGCATTTGTGTCAGCCAATGGGAGCAGAGTAAACCACAACATCAACAAAACAACATGTTCTCAGCACATTAAAAAGAACAAGCTCTGAGGCGCGATTTCTTCTGATCTAATGATGACCAGTAGTCACATTCGTCGATTTGTTCTGCGTCAGTCTATTTTAAACCTGACGTTGCTGCTGTGACAGTTTAATTCTCACTTTTAAGTCTCAGTGATGCGGTGGTCTATGTGAACTGAGATCTCACTGTCACGAGAGTGACACTGGATTCAAGTCTATCCACAAATATAACACCGTCTCTCACCCAGGTACTAGTCAATTTATTAGATTTGACAAGATTGCGAGCTAAGGTCGCGATACGGGGCCGTTCTTTGCTGATGTCATCGTGAACGAAGATCTTAGGTTCAATGTTCTTCAGTTAAATTGCTGCATTACTTCTCGCTGTGTCCTGCAGGACAGCAATTTCCCCCTGATGGGGCGGGGCTTATCTTTGGAGTTTTCGTAGGATCACCAGTACTGTGATTCCTGTCAATGTCTTTTTCAATGTTAATTTCTACATCTGTTCAACTCGCCATCTGCTTAACAATTCATCTGTATTTTCACTATCAGCTTCAGCAATACCAAACATTCTTTCTCTTGCTATATTGACAAAAAATGAAAATTCCAGCGATTATTATACATTTTCACCGAGTTTACATATTCCCTGTAACATATACATACTAACACCTAGTTGTGCATGCATACAGACCCTCAGCTGTGTATACATACTAACACATAGATGTGCCTACATACTGACCCTTTAGCTGTGTATACATACTAACACCTAGTTGTGCATACATACTGACACTCAGCTGTGTATACATACTAACGCTAAGTTGTGCCTACATACTGACACTCAGCTGTGTATACATACTAACGCTAAGTTGTGCCTACATACTGACACTCAGCTGTGTATACATACTAACACCTAGTTGTGCATACATACTGACACTCAGCTGTGTATACATACTAACACTTAGTTGTGCATACATACTGACACTCAGCTGTGTATACATACTAACACTTAGTTGTTAATACATACTGACACTCAGCTGTGTATACATACTGACACCTAGTTGTGCATACATACTGACACTCAGCTGTGTATACATACTAACACCTAGTTGTGCATACATACTGACACTCAAATGTGTATACATACTTACACTTAGTTGTGCCTACATACTGACCCTCAACTGTGTATACATACT